GAACACATTCGTTCGGCCAAGGATGAGCATTGAACTTCCTTCCCGAACACACTCGTTCGGCCAAGAACGAACATTTAACTTCCCTCCCGAACACACTCGTTCGACCAGGGACGAACATTCAACTTCCCTCCCGAACACACTCGTTCGGCCAAGGATGAGTATTCACCTTCCCTCCCGAGCACCCTGCTCGGCCAAGGTTGAATAAACAAGGTCACTATCATCAACAGTCACGGCCCCCGAGAAGCGTACGGAAACCCTAGAAACCCACCAAACCTACTCAAACCCCTTCGTCTTTCATCCTTGGGCTTGGGGGGGCAGTGTACCAGTTGGCACCCACCTTTGACCCGGTCAAAGGTCGAACACACCAAAAGCAAAAGAGACCCCTTCAGCCCTAGACCAAACCGAATACCCACTTCGGTCCTAGACCTAGCCGAATACCCACTTCGGTCCTAGACCTAGCCGAATACCCTCTCGGTTCCTGACCAAGCTGAATACCCACTTCGACCCTAGACCTAGCCGAGTACCCTCTCGGTCCTAGACCTAGTCGGATACCTTCTCGGTCCTAGACCTAGCCGGATACTCCCTCGGTTCCAGGCCAGGCCGAACATCCCCTCGGCCCCAGATCAGGCCGAATACCCCTTCGGGCCTAGACCAGGCCGAATACCTCGTCGGCCTTAGGCTTGACCAAAGACTTAAGGCAAGGAGAACCCACATAAAACACGTGGCAAATTACATGCCCATTATGCAATAACTACCATTCCTGATTAAGAGAAGATTAAGGTTAATTAAAATGTTACCCATCTCCCAAAATAAAAGGCCCACCAGGCCCACTCATGTCACTATAAATACACAGGTGATGGGACATAAATGAGGTACGTTATTATCCAATATAAAGCCTTTATTGCTCTGAACCGAATACTTACTTGATCGTCGGAGTGCCTTTGCATGTACCCTCCCCCACCCCTCGGAGATAGTATTCGGTCGGCACCTAAGACTTAGAAGACCAAGAAGGAAGAACAACAAGAGGAGTGTTTCTACGCAGAAACAAAAACCATGCATGTTGCACTATTATTATAGTATTGCTCTTATTTGTTGGAAACACGCTAATACGATTTTGATATTCAATTTTAGGATACAAGTTCTTTTATTAGTTGCATTTGTTTCATTAAATGATTTTTTTTGTTACATAGTAATATTTAAAACTAGTTAAAGACATAATTTATTAACATTTGTCTTAGTCTCGTGCTTCCCATTACTTTGTAGACAAACTTCTAAAAACTCATGTAAGTGCACAAAGTATGGTGCTTATACTCTTAAAATTTAACAGTCTTTAATTTAATGCTCTAATGAAGTTATGTCATATGACATTTAACTAAATCAGCAAACACATTTAATATATTCACATTAGTTTTTCTTAGTTGATAAGGATCTAAACCATAAATTATGTTGGTATAGATAACTTACATTCATTGATAATTCATAGAAAAATTATCAAAAAAAATTTGCAGATGTGGCTAATTTATGAAATCAAGTCATTTGGAATACAAGACTAATCAACTATTGTTTACTTTGAGTCATTTAACGGTTGCAAAGAATGAATCAAAATTATAGTTAAAAAATCATTAAATTTGATCTCCATATTAATTATTTCTTTTTTTTTTTTTACATGATTTAACGTTTCCCTTAATATATATAGTCACGTACTATTTACTCTTTCAAAACAATTTCAATTTTTTTTTTCTCTTTAAACTAACTTTCTTTGTTCAATAATTTTATTAATAAATTTTTAAGACAACAAAAATAATTGAAAATACACCAACCTTACATATGCAAGTTACTTTATTTTATTTCTCTAGTTGATAAGACATTATATTTTTTCATTGATTTTAGTTCTCTTTGAAATTAAAAACTAATTATTCCGCCTTCAAATAAAAGACTCTTAATTTTCTCTTAAAATAAAAGATAACCCTTTCTTATCTTTCTATGTAACATCAGATTTTTTTTAATTACCATGGTATCCACCACCAAAAGCACAGACTAATACCACTAAAGACTACAAATGCATATAAAATAAATATTTTTCTCTTAATGTAGTCTATTTCATATTCAAAATTAAAATTTGAACACTCAAGAGTTTAATTAACTGAAACAAATTCCTACTAGTTCGGTAGACTCGATAAGTATCACCTTCCCTGAAATGATACCATGGTTTATGTACAAAATTTAGTTAATATTGTTAGAATGGAACAGATAGAATGAAAAATCACCATACATTTAACATCTAATTTTTCTTCTCAAATCAACATTACAAAAAAAGAAACAAGTTAAATATGCTCGGTACAATGTTTGGAATTTTGTCATCGACTACATATAAGATTCATGATTTCTAAAGGAACTAACATGTGCGGTAATAAAACTTCTGTACTAGGCAGTGAAAATTTATTGATATTCTGACCTCACATTTTCACACCAACTGCAGTAACCTTATATATAGAGAGAGTAACCTTATATATAGAGAGAGGAGGTTCCACATACATTAAAAATAAGTTTTGGTATACTTACATCACTTAATAATTCGTGTTACACATCAAATTTTAATAATTCAACTATAGAATATAAAAATTCTTGGTAAATAGATCAAATATACAAATTTTTAAAAAAATTATAAATTTAATTTATGTATTAAGAACTTTTAATTCAATAATTAAATCATAAAATCTGATGTAAATCATGCATTATTGAATGAAGTCTACCGAAACTTTCTCTTGAAGTAAATGAATTTTGGTTAAATACCTAATTTGGTCCCTTATAGTATTTTAATGTTTCAATTTAGCCTCACTTTAATTTTTTGTTTCAATTTGGTCCCAAATAATTTAAATTACTGCAATGTCGGACCTTCTATCCAAATTTCTTAAATGAAGTTAATTGTTGGCTACATGAATGTCATGTAGACGCATAGGTGGATGCCAAATTTCTATAATGCATCTGGAACCCGAACGGCCTGTTCTGAAACCAGAACGGTCTGTTCTGCTTGCACTCGTCGTGTGTTAATTTTGTATCTGGAACAGGTCGTTCCAGATGCATTATTTAACGCACAACAAGTGCAAGCAGAACGGTCCGTTCTGAAACCAAAACGACCCATTTTAGTTTCAAAACGGGCCGTTCCAGAACGCCAAACACATACATACGTTCAACAAAATGCAGCAATGTGGTTCAAAGATTGAAAACAAAAATTCATAATATAACATAAATTCAAAGACTAAACTATGGTTCAAAGATTGAAAATAAAAATTTATAACATAACATATACTAAGAAAGTTCAAGAAATTACTGAGGAGGAAAATAAAATCATGTTGTTTCATCCTTGACTGTACAATATCGCCAATTTGGTAGTAAGTGGTTCACTCCAGTTTGATTAACAATGAAATAAAATCTGCCACCATTGTCCTTAGTGATACACTACATTGCATAACAAGTATTATAATTAATACTTCTAGGAACTCTTATATGCTGCAATTGGTCCATAAATGGTGTATAGCCCAAATGTTTAGCAATTGAAGTTATCAATTCCTATTGACAATATTATCAAATCCAGTGTTTGAAATGCTTTGTACCTTGAATTTTTTTTTTCTTTGCATGAATCACAACCGTGATTTAGAATCATGACCGTGAACTATAATCATTGAGTGTTTGTGATTGGCGTTCTAGAACCAGAACAACCCGTTCCAGATGCATTAAAGAAGGAGGAGGAGGAGGAGGACATGTGACCTTGCCACCTATGCATTTACGTGGCATTCACGTGGTCAACAGTTAACTCTGTTTAAGAAATTTGGACGGAAAGTCCGATATTGTAGTGATTTAAATTATTTGGGACCAAATTGAAACCAAAAATTAAAGTGAGACTAAATTGAAACTTTAAAATATTAAAAAGGACCAAATTAGTATTTTAACCATGAATTTTTCCTTATATATATATAATTAAGAATTTTGGGTCATTTCAAATTTTTATTTCTGATTTTAATAACTAAAACATTTTCTTGTCTATTTTTTAATACCTTGTTTCTTTTTTGGTTATCAATATTAGTCACCAGAGAATGAAATTTTGCCCCTTGTCTTTCCTAGGGTCTGATATTGATGACAAAAAACAAAAAATAAAAATGGACAAAAAATAAATTCAAGGATTAAAATCAGAAATCTGAAATTTTATAGGACCAAAACTATATTTAATCCTTGAAAATATTATGGCTCTATCAGTGAGAGGACAGGAAGGTCGGGGCAATAATCCATGGATAGACCTCATTTGATTGAACACCTAAAATCAAGCCACGAGACAATGTCATCATGTACGGCAAATATTCTGTCATCAGGTTCCCCTTCCAAAATGCAGTGGTAACCACCTTCATAGAGTTTTAAAGTCTTATCTTTGCTGGATGCTTTCTCATAAAGAAATTGGCTCACTAATGGGTCAGTCACCTTATCTTCTGCTCCATGAAGAACTAATAATGGCGCTGAGACCTTCCATTATTGCATATATAGAAAGAAAAATAACTATAACATAAATCCAACTTGCATTCTGGAATAAGAAAAACAGAAAAAGAGAAACATGGAAGAATGAGAAAAGACAAAACTAACCTTGTATACTTGTGATTCAATTTCTTTTGTAGCCCTTAAAAGTTCCATGCCAGTTCTCAGCCGTGGATTATCATCATAACAAATAACATTGTAAACAGCCTACAAAAATAAAAAAGTTTGTCTGCAAATTAATTACGTCACATTATTGTTTTTGGTTTCATTTCATAAGACAAGTAAATAAGTGGTGGGGGGGTTGGGCTGATGGAGACAGTGACATCAGATGAACATTATATTATTAATTCACACAGCAAGGCTAATCATTAATAGACGTTGTAAAGCAACACGTTATTGGTTGAATAGTGTTAATTAGGGGAAAACTAATATTTTCCCTGAAATTACAATGAATGCAGAACTACTCATTGTTTTAATAAGGAAATCAAATGAGAATGACAAGTTAAACATCAATGTGCGACATGCTGATTGATAAAGGCTACTATTTTTTAGTTTATGTTGGAGCTTACCAATGCTTTCATAGCGCCATGAATGAACCAAGTTACATTTTGGCAAAAACAATTAAATGTAGATGCACGTATCTACCTCAGATATCAATGTGGTGTTGTTTGGTAACCCAACAAATGAAGAAACTTAAGAGATAAATACTCGAGGTGTTTAATGACAATCCTTATAAGTAAAAGGAAGTAAAGCATTAAACTCTGATCAAATGAAAATGAATGGAAGAGTTATTATATATGGTTGTCCCTTGACTCGTGAACTTATGCTATCAAGTTAATTAAGGATGGTGAACCTCATATATATGAATAAAATATACATGCTCATGGAAACTGTTGCTCCAAACAGCATAACTGACTTCATTATGATCATTTTATCATGCAGATAATATGGATCTAGTAGTATCTAGTAGGTGAAGCAGTGTAAATGATGTGCATGATTTTAAATTGTTTCCGAAACTATAGATATGGACACTATCATTGCAGTTTTGGAAGTTTCTGTAACACTGATCGTGATTGTAACTTCCTACTAATGCGGTAATTGCAGGTATGACCCAAATTTAAAATGATAAAGATGAGAGGCAAATTTCAAAACAAAAATTATCAAGTACAAGACATTTTGGTAAATCCCGAAATGTAAGATCAATGGTTATTCATTTCAATATATACGCATACAATAATTAACGATCGCAAAGTTACCAACCAATTTTCTTTTGCTCGGTTCCCTGAAGGCCAGCTCGGCTAGATCTTGGTTTGGGAAGAGTTTTGCTTTTGGCATCACTTTAGACACCACAGTTAAAACCTTCATAACAGCATCTGATGGTAACACGTCATCTGCAATCTTATCAGTAACAGAAGATCAGCAAGTCATGTTTCATCTAACTGTTCAACCAAAGCAGCTCTTATTTTAATTTTGAAACCACTAAAAACAAAATGAAATTTTTTTATTTGACTTAAAAAAGAATTAATTATAAGCTTATCATGATATTTATTGCTTGCATCTCTCTATAATGTTAATCCAAAGAATTATTTCGTATGGATCAACTAGAGATGTTCCAAGTGATATTAGTGGTATAATACTGAATGCCCAAAGGCACCAAAGCAGTCCAAAGTGCTTTGATAGTTAATCCTTTTGAAAGATCTCTAATTTCAAGAGGGTATCCCAAACATTACATGGCTTTGCCAGGTAAATCCTGGTAAACTTCCGACCTACAGTATTAAAATCTTAGCAAATTCCAACAGAGCCGGATAATGTCCCAAAGCTGATATTATAATTTTTCCTTAATTGTATTTATACCATAATTTTCAGATATATACTCAGTAAAAAAAATCCAAGAACATATGAAAAGTGTTGGTAAAACTACTACAATTGAGTATTAAAATGAAGCAATAATAATCAATATGCAGTTTGAATATGGAACAACATAAATGATTAGGAAAATATACTTTTAAATCAGGTCCACTCATGAGTAAGTCTCAAAGTTCTATGAAATATATAGTATTTTTATTTATATTTCACCAGAGACAGACAATGGCATCACAGTTTGTTAGTACCTCATCTTAAAGAATAAGATTTGAGGGAAACAAATCTTGAAATTAACTGTGATTATATTTTTGAATTGCCAATGCAAACAAAGATCAAATTGTATGTGTTTAGGGTTTAGGGTTTAGCACCATATTTTTTTAATTTGCAGTTTGCAACTACAACGGTGCTTACAGTATTGCAGTTTACATGGTCTATACAGTTGCATCGCAATTGCAATTGTTTGCAATTTCGGTAATTGATTAAAAGTCATGAGTGATACCAATAAACAATTAAAAGGGTAAACTTCTTTTATAGTTTGAAACAATTCATTGATAAAAGAATTCAAGCTGAATCATAAATTTCAAAAATTAGAAAAACGAAGTTGTTGAGCATCAATTGAAATACAGAGGAATGAGCTTACTTTACACATTGGTGCTACGAGTATCATTCCATCCCAACTATTTGGCTCCTTCAAATGAACTTTAAGAGAAACTGCTCCACCCATCGACTGTCCTAATATAAATCGAGGCAAGTCTCTCAGATCAGGCCTTGCTGTCAATTGAAATACAAAACAAGATCAACAACAGCATATCTTTCACATGAAAAATATTACAAAGATAATCAATATAATTTCAACATCATGGATATTGAAATGTGAAAATGGCACACCTTTAATTTTTGTATAATGCTCTACAACATCATCAACCAGATCGTCAAAGTTTGGTATATAACCATGCAATCCTTCTGAAAGACCAAAACCTGGATAGTCCATTGCAAAGACACCATACCCAGATGCGGCAATTCTCCTGGCAATACCTGTATACAAAAATGCAAATCATATCCTCCCCCAAATGATACACGAGGAATCTTTAGCTCCTTCAGAAACGTATGGCACAACTTACGCCATTACAAACCTTCAAAGAAGAATGTGCAAGTATCACCATATCCATGACAGAAACACACAGAGGCCTTGATGGGAATACCAGGCTTTGGCATCCAGCTTTTGCAGAAAATTTCCAATCCCCTTGAATTCCTCTCGTACCACTACTCATTAAACAAATATAAAATATAAAATAAATAACATTTTCCACCATGGTAACAAACTCATCAAAGGAAAAAACTTCACAACATCAACATTCACCAAGATTCTTAACAAGGCAGAAAATCTTACTTCTTCAGTTTTGATCCCAGCAGGAGCATTCTAGCACAAAAGGTTAAACATCAGTCAGTCACCGAGTCTTAAACAAGGAACTAGTCATACCCAGTAAACGAAAATTAGAAGAACTTATGAGCATGTTTGAGTAAACTTATCTGGAAGCATTTTTAGTTTATGCATATGCTAATTTGTAAAAGCTTTCTTCTATTAATTTCTTTAAAGTCTTGTTTTTAACTTATACATAACAGCTGGAGAAGCTCTTTTGCATTTTCCATCCTATTTTTCTCTTTCTCTCATAGAAGTGTTTCTCAAGCTGTTTATTCAAACTAGGTCGAATATGTATATCTTTCTAGAAATCATGGTTTTAAAAAAAGAGTTAGGAACTGCAATTGCAGCCACAAGATCAAGGTTACAAGGTCTCAGCAAGTGAATCTCAACCGCAATAACAGCCACATTAGTCACATTCGTAAGCCAAATTTCCGCAATATTGAGAATCGCGACCAAGCGGCAACCCCAATTTTAAACCTTGGAATAAAGTGACAACTTATAGTGCCTTGTTCCTTTCTAAATATCCTCGGACTAATTTGTATAAATGAAAATTTCAAGGATCAAAGTAATAAAAGTTGTCACTAGAGCCAAATAATATAATAACTCAATAAGTATAAATATTCCGCCTTCCCTTAACCACGATCAAAACTCAACTAACCTTGAACAAACAATGATCCAGTTGCTGCTGCAGCTCAGCGAAAGCAGCGCGGACCCTTCTTCGAGTGTAAGCAAAGTCAAGGTTGTAACGAGCTATAGCGTTCAACTCTTCACTCACCCCTTCAATAGGTTCCTTTCTCAGTGCTCTCACCGTTAGAGTACTAATCTTGGGTTTGTTGGTGACCTTGGTTGAAAAGGGTGGTTGATGCATAAAAGGGTGGCTGGTGGGTGTGCGCGCAAAGGGTGAGAGGAGGTTCCGTGATCGGAATCTGAAGGGCACGGATAGCTCCATGGTGAACGAGGGGTGTGTGTGAATGTGTGATGAGGGATCACGATTCGCGAGAACGCTTCCCAGGTAAAAAGTTTTGGTTTTTTTTTTCCTTCTTTTTTATAGTATTTTTCTTCTTTTCATTGTGCTGCAAGCAATTGAAGTGCCGGGGTCCAATTCCGAATTTGACCACTCGGGAAGCTGCGTTCGGAGACCACAGTCCATGTTTGCCAGCATTAAGCACTCACCACCCTGTTCACTTTTCTCGCCAAAGTGGGGTCGGTGAAACTTGAAAGCATCCCAATAGCACGTGTCTAACATGCTTAATCATATAGAGTGAAAGAAAAAAAAAATTAAATAACTTTTACTAAGTATTACACTATTTAATAATTTTATACTAAATATAAATTTTATAAATTTATTCACTAAATTGAAAGTTTTTTACTCTTAAATCATAACGATACTGGTATAATTTTTATTAAGTATTATAATATTTAATAATTTTATATTAAATGTTAATTTTGTAAATCTAATTATTGAATTATAACTTCATATTATTTTATATGTTTATGTTCTTACCGGAGATCGGTCGTAAGGACGATCTGCTGGGCAAGATCAGTGAGCCTCATTCGCTAGGTACGCTTGTTGCTCCAAGATGGGGGTGGTACCTGCAAAAGAGACTCCGATGCTAAAGTTAGTGTTTGTGGGAGTATGAGTCTCGTATAAGTAATGCACGTACCTTTGTGTGGATTAAGGTTTTGTTGGGCCTTGGGCCTGAGATCAGTTATGACCTAATTAGATAGCGAACCTCGTCTTGAAGCTCCTCGCGACATGGATGAGCTCCGTGCCTGTGCTGCTGGGTACATCCAGATGGAAGAACACTCCGCTTTTCGTGACCAGGTTCGCGGAAAATCACAAGCGAAGCTTGACAATGGTCATAAAGACAAGATGAAAGTTACAAATGACAGCCAGTTCAAGAAGACCGCCAAGGCGAGTAAGGGGGGGAGATACGACTTCTACACTCCCTTGAACACGCCCCTGTAGACCCCTAAAATTGTCCGGGTCGGAAAT